AATAGGCTGAACTGCTTGATCCTCATTAGTTTCCTGCCGTGATATCTGTGCAATTCAGTTCGAATTGAAGAGATGTTATAGTCAGATCATAAATTTCCTCCAGAGGTAAATACTCTGTTTAAACAGTACCACGATTCGCATTTCTCATATAATGAGGGAAAATCGGTTGCGACTCTTCGGTTCAGACACAAAACCGGAATACGGTCTCTCCGAGAGGTTCGTCCTAACGTGCACTGGAAGAGTACAATGGTGCAACGTAAAAGGCGCACACGTCCTGGCTAGATACCCCAAGCTCGGCATCACATTTGCTTTGTTAAATGCTATCCCTTGAAAGAGATTTCACTACACCGTGCTGCCTCAGTGAACCAGCAGAGAAACAAGTAGCAAACCGCTGACTCACACGGTGTTGTGCTTTGTTCTTGCCGGAGTAAACGAGAGGCACGGTTATGCCTCTGCTGGTGTGATTCCTTAAGGCCTCATTTCATTGTGCAATAATTGATTAAAGGTCAGCACAATATGCAAATCACAAAAAATATATCACAACAGAAGATCAAACCCTGTCCTTATGCCAATATCTCATTATAAAGTCGTTTGGAGCTCGAAAGGAGCATATTAAACGTAGGAAGGCATTTCGCCTTAATATTTTCATAGTAAGAATATCGTGGCCTATAGTCGTTTCCTGATCTTCATGACACACACTGGACGATTCGACTACGACTGAACGGACTGGATCACTGTTATCGCCTGTCCAAGTGCATGCTTTCAATGGGAAGGATGTCGTTTATCTAAATACTTGTAATTGGAGTGTTCCTCTTCTAAACGGAACCGTCTTAAACGGCACAGAAAGCCTTTTCAGCCCCTATCACCATTCCGTCGTTAGGCAACTGCTACAGAGCCGATCCACCTACTTGGTTACCTCTGTACTTGGAAGTACGTATTCCATCGCATTTAGCTCTGACGTGTGATCGTACCTTTTAATCGTGACGTAGACTTTTGGATTTTCATGGACACGCAATGGAAAGTATACCTTTAGTGACCTTAGTGGAAATAAAATATAACTCAATTAAGCATTACAAGAGTTAAAGAACGTTAACGCGATTCAAATGGATCCTCACCAGCATGAAGTTGGCAACATATGAGGTAAATC